GTTACTACACTGACATCAATGAGCTTACCATGTCTTTCTATTGGTTCATATGCGGCCAATAAGAAAGAGAGGCCTGTCTGGATTCCTTAAATGTGTTTGTGGTGCATTTAACTATGGCTGACAGGAGCTGTGTGGTGGTTCTCTTAGGAACTACATCCTTTTTCTTTTTTTGCATTAGTGCCCCACAAAAAAAAATGCAGAACTAGTAAAAAAATGTTTTAGGAATTCCCTCATCCCTCCTTCCTGAAAGGAACAAAGTGTTCCAGGAACTGCTTCAGCCAATCCATACATTGAACAAGGGTGGGTGGATGCACAAAGCATCTGCGTGTAATCATTTATCCATTCATGCAAACTACCAGCACAAAAGAGAGGGCTGGATATTATATGGAAAGTGTTAGACAGGGTACATACTTCAGTCGAGTCCTGTGTATGCATTCCTCTACACATGTGACTTTCCACAGCAGCTCCAGTTCAGGGTGTCCCAGACAGCAGGCTGACGTCACATCATGAGGTTGACTGTGCAAAACGGTCTCCTCATATCTAAAGTTGCACCTGCTGCTTCATGGGACAAGATGTTGTTCTATTCCCAGAACTGCACCGCTTGCTCTATGTGTTGTGACAGGACACCATGTGTCACCATGGCATAATGCCGCTTTATGCGTTTGTCTGTGTCTGAGTACTTCAGTACATGTTCCTTAACACCTCTGAAGTGGTTTTTTATACAAAACTGAAGTAAAGGCCTCTGCAAATTACCTGCACCTTTGACACATACTCCATTATTTACAGTATTGCAAACTATTACTGTAATTGTTTTAGCTCCACATGATTCTGAGATGCACATGGTAGTATACCCTATTTATTATTATTATTTTATTATTGTAATTTTTATAATTGTCCTTATTACTATTAACATTATTTGTTTATTATTATTATTATTATTATTATTATTATTATTATTATTATTATTATTATTATTATTATTATTATTATTATTATCAGTAGTAGTAGTTGTAATATCTTTAAATGTTTTGGTGATATACAACTCAAATCGGAGGTATTATCAGTAGTAGGAGTAGTAATAGTAGTAGTAGTATTTTATTCATCAAATTCCTTAATTAGTGAAGTGAAACTTATTCTTATTTAAATATTTTGGTGATATACAAAAATGTTTACACTGTGTCCTCAACAGAGATGGCAAAAGTACACACATCCTTTACTCAAGTAGAAGTACAGATACTTGTGTTTAAAAATACTCAGGTAAAAAAAAGTACTGACTAAACTTCTTTACTCAAGTAAAAGTAAAGCAGTATGGGCTTCGAAATGTACTTAAGTAAAAAGTACCCATAACTACCAACTGTTTTGTAGAGTAACTGACCTCCCTTTATATTAATAGAACAATAATGTCATTGTTAGCTAATGAATGTTTCATTGCTGAACAACGGCAAAATGACAACGTTTTCATTGGTCCCTCTTCTTTAGAGAAGACCAGGAAATGAAGGATACACGGATCGTGTTAAAATCTATAGGCACGCAATGACTCTAAATAATAATGATCATGCCACCAAACACAGATTAAAACTAAAGTAACAAACCTGTTTTGAAAATGTAAGAATTAAAAGTACAGGTATTTGTGTTAAAAAGTAAAAGTAAAAAGTCGTCAGAAAAACAAGTAGTGGAGTAAAGTACTGATACCAGAAACATTTACTTAAGTACAGTAACGAAGTATTTGTACTCCCCAACTTCCCAGCTCTGGTCCTCAATGCACAGGTGTTAGGGACAGGAGAGTAAGGAGAGGCTCTGATCCATTTATCTAAAAAAAAGTTTCAGCTGCATATAAACAAGGATAAAGGTGTGCCATGGTTACATTTAAAACAAGCACCCTGGTCCAGAAGAGGAAGTGAGGTGCTTCACCAACTGCTTTCCGACCCTGATGCTAAAAACAGTTTCCTAAAGAGAACATTGAGTGAATAACCTTTGGGCAGAGAGAGACCAGTAAACAGCTCGCTGGTCCGGCTTCAGCCAGTCAGCTGGGACCTCGCCGGCAGCCCCTGAAAATGAATCTGAGCAGGCGGGCTAACTTCAACGCTCCTTTTCCTACACTTTGAGTCCCATGAACTTTGATCCAGTGTTTGAACCAGCTAATCTCCATTACACTATAAATAAAGACCATTACTCTATAAATAAAACCATCAGCGTCACTTATAAGGTTAGTGAAGGACACAAATGTTGGCTGGTTGCTTTATTAACAGAACCATGTGAACTTAATTTAATTTCAACTCATTATTGAAGATGAGGCCACTGGACCAGCATGACTGTCTACAAATTGAATTGAGTTTTGAATCATCAGGCTTCCCGTCAATTCAATACCTTTCAACCTTGAATGTTTGAATATTCAACTGCAAAAAAATATATTTAGATGTGATTGCAATCTGCATATAAATTAAAGACTATTCCAGACTGTGGATTGACTGTCAAGCTACATCAACACATTAAAGTCTGTTTTACCAAAGTATTTAAGAAATGTGGATTCCTGTCCTTAGAAAAGATAGAAACAATGCCATAAGTGCAATGTGTCTTAATTATTTTTATTATTTTATATTTGGTCTCTTTCTTGACAAATGAATTACACTCAAATACGAGTGCACATGCATGTTCGTGTGGCGTGTGGCGTAGTGGATTGTCCGTAGGTGTTCGGATCAGGAGGTCACAGGTTCAAACCCCACTGCAGTCAGCATGTCGTTGTGTCCCTGGGCAAGACACTTCACCCCAAATTGCTCCTGTGGGGATTGCCCACAGTATTGAGTATGTAAGTCGCTTTGGATAAAAGCGTCTAACAAGTAACATGTAATAATAATGTAATAATGTTCGAAAGAGAGTCCCACTATCACTGTACACATGTACCAGTGTATCGCAACGCCCCTTATTATACAAAAATCATCAATTTCAAAACAATCCAAAGATAAATACTTCTCCCAAATTTCAAGGAGAAAAAGAGAAATACAAAGTGCCTTCAGTTCAAACACATATCCATGCCATGTTTTTCTAGGCACCGACCACAGAAAACACATGAAGACTAAAAGGGGTCCGTGATGTGTAGGCCACATGTATCACATATGAAGACATTGTTTTTGCAACCTGTTGGCCAACACTGTCTGCTCATCTGGTACAACTGAAAGAGTTTGTAACAAACACATGGATTCGCGCTGAAAGACTACACTTGTTTTTCAAGTTAGCTTATTATTTTCAAAAGGTAACTTGGTCACAACAGAAATGATTGTTTAAATTAAAGGCTGGAGGCATGAAAAGGGAAGGAGCTTAAATTAAATTCTCATAAATTCTCATAATTTCATGAGAAAAAATTGTCACATTTAGATAGGACAAGCCATGTCCTATCTAATAGATTGTGTTTCTTGGATTTACTTTTTTTCTGCTTATAGTTCCTGTAAAAATGTGATTATTTAGTTTGTTTGGAATGGTTTATTTGACTAACACCCAGAAGATGTAACATCAAGGTGTTGAGCATCGCCTTGGTTCTGCATTGTGTTTGTGTTGAATAAATAAGTATATTTGTTCCCAAAATTTCAATTTAAAATTGTATGTGACCAGCTTTGTGTGTTCACTTCACCTCTCTGGGTCCTCTCTTGTGCCTCCCAGAATCAAATTAGTCTGCAACTGTAGACGATCAGCTGTCCCAACGAACTCTTTATGTAACTGCTTTAGCAGGATTCACAATGTCTCACTTTGAATAACAGTTCATAATACTGCACTTTTAAGTGACCAACCTAACTTATATTGATACATTATTAATTGGTAATATGACTGTTATTGAATATTGCTTAAAGAGGTCACTTTTCTGCACTCATATTAGTTGAGTCTACATATTGAAAAAAGGTTTTGAAGGGGTCTTCCACTTAAAAATATCAAGTTGGCAGACTTTAAGAGACAGGATGTTCATACAAAAATTGGTCTAAATCCATGAAGGGGTTGAGATATTTTGAGTTTCGGGCCCTCATATTGGTCTAGATCTCAATACTACCTTATTATGCAACTGTTTTTCATAAGATTCTCCCTGTATTAGAAAGGTGAGGTTACCATGATGACATCACTATGACGTAATTTTTTAGACCTGACAAACATTCTCCAAATCCATTGAACAACTGTTTTTAAAAATGGATTGACTCAGCTATATGGGTGAATGTACAGTGCTGCCACCTTGTGTTTCAAATGAAAGCTAAAGAACATCCTTAAATGTGAGCCTTGCTCTTTCTCCTTGCTTTCCTGTAGTCACCTCATACTTCATATTTATGTGCATATTTACAGAATTTGTAAAAGAAAATTGACTCCAGCAGAGTTTGCGCAAGTTTGCTTCTATGTCTTCATTAAGAATAGTGGAAAGAAATATACAAAATAAACATTAAGGTGTGAATTTTGCAAACCTTTGTCTATTGTGACTATAGCTTTACGTGTTCATTTAGCATAAGATAATGGCTTCATGACTGTGGGAGTTTTTTGGTGAGACATATATATTATTCTTTTTTTTTTTTACCCTATTGTACTGTCCTGTAAAATGTACAATCCATATCTTCAAAGGCCTGCTTTGTTTTTCGTCATACTCTGAGGCAGAAATGTCCACTCCAGCAGCACCAACAGAACCTTACAGTATGTCCATTTAATCTAATATTCAGATTTCTGTTCCTTGATATATCATTATTTTGTAAGATAATGCCTCGTTTTCATACGTAAATACATCCTTTACGGTATTTGGTTGACGAACCATAAACATTCTTACATTTCAGAACATGCTGTTTAGAGTATCAACGAGGGCCGTTGTATTGTGATATATCTTTAAGTCAAACATTTTAGTGTGATCACAAATGAAATATGCAAATTATTTCTACTAAGAACACTTTGGATGATTGCGATAGACAGCAGCAGAGCCATATAATAGAATCTTCTATCTATATGGCGCTGGACAGCAGTAATGCTTCAAAGCGCCACACCAAGCTACCAAAATAGAAGAAGAAGAGGCCGACCAAAAATAATCACAGCAGCAGAAGAAGAAACTAGCGTTAGCTGTAATTTATCCAATGCCTAGCTAGCGTCGGTGCAGGTGTCAGAGATAGTCTTATGCTGCGAAAGAGAGCACAGGTCGTTTTAACCAGATCGTGACAGAGACCGACAACATGGAGAGACAGCTGCATTTAAATATTTTAACCTCCAGACCTCCCATGGCTGGAGGGTTGCAGTCCAGCTCCAAAATGAAAATGGGGTAAGCTACCTTAGCATCATAATAGCATTCGTTCAACTCTGCTACTACTTACACGTTTATATTTTCTATCATCACAGAAAGTGCTTTCTGTTACACTGGACTGGTATCTTTAGAGTTAGTTAAAATATAGCTGAACTACGCTTTAGCTAGTAAGGCTAGCTAGCTGTTGCTACCAGAGTTTATACCAAACAGTAGCAGATAAAACGCGATTCACACCATATCTTAAAATACAGGATAATTACATATATTCATATTTACGTTTGATCTAGCGTTAGCCATTGATCTTAAATAACATTAGCTTAGATATGTCAGGGTAAGAGTGAGCATTGATGACACACTAAAAGCAGTGTCTGAATATATGAATCCTTATGTCAACAAGAGTAGTTTCCACAAACAGACAGAGACTTTAAGATCCAGGGCTCGTTTCTGGCTTGTTATTACTTGTCCACATAACGTGTTTTTAACATGTTACAAATATATTATATACCTTTTTTAAAGTGATGATCATTTGTGTTTGAATATACAGCAGCTAGAGCATTAGCACAGTAGCATGTGGTGTGTTCTTGCTGAAAAATGTGTTTTTAATAAATGTAGCGCTTGCATTACATTTGGATATTCCTGTATCCTCATAATCTCTTAATTTATATGGACTATTTTTCTCTTAATGAAAACATGTGTCAAAGCTGTATGTCTTGCACTATGGGTTTTGATAATTCAGCTGAAATATGGGATTGGTTTACATTTTGCTTCTCCTTTTTCTAAACAGACCCGGACGGAAAAGGGATTTCACCCCCCTGTCCTGGAGTCAGTACTTTGAAACTATTGAAGACGTTGAGGTGGAAAATGAAAATGGCAAAGACATATCCTTGACTGCTGCTTGTGTTTGTTCGAGACAATTAAGCATGAATTATTGAAGCTTTGGTGTGGCAGTCACCCAGAGCATTCACATCCAACTTGGTCATTTCAGATTCAGTACTTGCACTATCTAACTCATTATTGAAGATAAGCAATTTATAATATCAATGTTCTTATAAAGCAGTTTCTCTTCACGTTTTAACTCTTGCACAGCTCTGTTATGCATTACCTTGACTACCTGGAACATTTTCAGAGCTTACTGCAGCGGCGCCCATGGTCCCGTGCTGCTCCTGCTCCATGGAGGAGGACACTCTGCTCTCTCCTGGGCCGTGTTCACTGTGAGCATTATAACTTCACTACTAAATTCTCTGATTAACCACATGTTTGAAATACACACCTATACTGTATATTGTGGAATGTTTATGGGTCTTTTCTTCTTTTCTTTTTTTAACAGGCTGTAATATGCAGCAGGATCAACTGCAGGGTGGTGGCTATGGACCTTCGAGCTCATGGTAAATAAATGTAGTCTCAGGAAAAATAATTTATACCAATTGTCGTCTTTGATTAAAACTTGAAGGCACATACTGTATCGATGTCCTATGAGTCTGTGTTGCTCACTGGTTAAAATACTGCAGTTTAGTCGAAATCAGGAAATACATCATAGCTGTTTATTTATAATGTTATGCTGGACAGATTGTCTATAGAGTATATGTGTATATGCTTTGAGCAGCAAAGGTTGAGTGGTTATGTATTTCAACAATTTCCCAATTTGGGATCAATAAAGTACTATCTATCTATCTATACATGTTCATTATCTGTCACACATAATCTATAGATAAAATGTTACACATAAGGACAAAAAACGTTGAATCGTAGTCTTTGAAAGGTTATATTTACTCTTTAAATGTAACTCTTTAAATGTAACTTATTTGTATCCTAAACTATTTCCACCCATCCTTGCCCTCTGTGATTTGACACTGAATCTCTCTCTATATCAAACTGCTACATATTGCTAAGGTGGAACCAGAGGTCGCGTTAACCGAATATTTTCCGTCTATGACGTAATTTTTCCAAGACTGACGGAAAACTCTGAAAGCAGTCCGTCATTTTGACAGATTAGAACACAACTCGGAACAGCGCCAAAATGTCCACCAGCGGCCCACATTATATTACATCCTTAGTGGCCAGGTCGACTGAGGGCGATCTACTGTACTCTACTGTAACTATTATTTAGTAATTCACACCCCTGTCCAGTTGGTGGCGAGTGTGTGCATATTAAGTAGCTATTGTCTAGTCTTGTATTTGACCTCGTTGATTACCTCGTTGTTTAACCGGCTTTAGCAATCGCAAAATGTCACGGCAGCTGAGTGTCCGAAGCTTTTTTAATAAGCCCAGTAATCGTGATGGTGTGGATAAACGAGGTGAAAAAAGAGGGATTGATGCAGTGGAGGATGAAGGACAAGCCAGTAAGACTAAAACTGACAACGTTCAGCCAGCAGCAGAGGGACAAGCAAGTGGCAAGGAAAAATAAATCATTCATATTCGTTTTGACATGAAAAGTGACCGCACGGTCGGTGTTTCTGTTCATCTTTTTTTTCCTCCATGCCCTTAAAAGTTCTGTATGAAAAAAGGAATGAATGAACATTTGCTGCTTAGTACCCAAACATAAATATTAAATATGTCTCATCATTAAAACATGAAAAATAAAATGACGGGTAATAATGGATTATGACGGAAATGTTATGATCCTGTCCGTCAAAATGACGGACAACGAAAATGTCTAACGCAACCACTGGGTGGAACATATAGTGAAATTCGCTTCTCTCTCTTCACCTGCAGGCGACACCAAAGTGAAAAATCCTGATGATCTCTCTGCGGACACGATGGCCAAGTAAGTTGCTGTACAGTATGCGCAGTTACGACACACACACAGTCCACTTTGAGCTCTACAGCCACAGAAAAGGATTGGAGAGTTTGGTGGGTTCTTGTTGTTTTTTAGGCTTTGATTGATAAAAGTAGTTCACATATTTATTTTCTTTTTCTTCAAAAGGGATATTGGCAAAGTGGTGGAGGTGCTCTATGGAGATAACCCTCCACCAATCATGATCATTGGGCACAGCATGGGCGGGGCCATTGCAGTTCACACAGCCGCTGCCAATCACATACCATCCCTGCTCGGCCTCTGTGTCATTGATGTTGTGGAAGGTTAGTGCTTTCTGGAATATCATAGAAAGCTGTTTGTTAATTATGACTTAGTTGACCTAATTGATGTTATTATTTTTGAGCACGCTGAAAATGTTTTGATAAATGTTCACATTGAAATTTAAATGAGCACGGTATAGTATTCCAGGATATATTAATGACAAGTGAACATTTTGAATTGCATTCAGGTACAGCAATGGATGCTTTGAACAGTATGCAGAACTTCCTCAGAAGTCGGCCAAAGACATTTAAATCTCTGGAAAATGCCATTGAGTGGAGGTATGATTGAACAAAAAATGTACTCTATCGCTATGTGGTTATTTTTCCCAAACGAAATTATAAAGTAAACATAATTTATTAAACCATTGATATACAAATTCTAAATCAACAATACTCTCTTTTTTTTATTGCATGTGTATTTGCCGCACATAAAGGGAGGCACACACTGACAAGTTATATTTATAAAAGAAAGTTGATGTCATAAAACACTTATTTATTTGATCAGATTAATTATTATATTTAAATTGAGACTTTTGAAGGTTCATACCAAAACCTCCATTAAAAGTTTAGAGTTGAAAGAAATGACAGCGTCTGAAACTTTTCCTTTGCTTTGTTTTCAGTGTGAAAAGTGGCCAGATCCGAAACATCGAGTCAGCACGAGTGTCAATGGGAGGCCAGGTGAAAAAGTATGTTTTAGTTTTAATATTTAATCTGGCATGGTTTTGCAAATGTATATACTGAATATTCATCAGGTCTGATCGGACATTCACAGATGTGAGGAACCCCCCAGCCGTCCTGCTGTGTCTAATAGCATTGATGGCATTATAGAAGAGGAAGAGGATGAAGAGGTGGAGGAAGAATCCAACAAGAAAAGGATGAAGGAGGATGACCAAGAGGTTCAGTCTCTCTAAATATTTGTCTTTATTTTGTAACATACATTTATGTTTTTTGAGTGAGAGATTGAAACGCACTTGTTTTTTTCATAACAGATAAAAAAGGAAAGCATTTTCACCTGGCGAGTGGAGCTGTCGAAGACGGAAAAATACTGGGAAGGCTGGTTCAGAGGCCTCTCTGCCCTCTTCCTCACGTGTCCTATGCCAAAATTGCTTCTGCTCGCAGGTTAGATATCTCCTAGTAAATGTACATACAAATCTGGTTCATGAGGGTCTGGTTAAGCAGTTTTGATGGAATTCAGTGCAGTCCCACTAGTTTGGATAAATACAAATGAGTTGTATTCCAAGCTTTTTTTGCTATTGGCTGCACAATTTCACCCCTGACTTAATCCATTGTACAGGAGTGGACAGGCTTGACAAAGACCTTACTATTGGACAGATGCAAGGTAAGCACCACAAATTCAGACGTACTGCATATTTTCCATTTTATTTATGAATAATTATTTTCCTAAATGTAAAAAAACGCAATTCTCAGACACGTCCACTTTTTGTCCACAGGGAAGTTTCAGATGCAGGTCCTCCCTCAGTGTGGTCACGCTGTCCATGAGGATGCGCCTGAAAAAGTAAGGGGTTAACATCAACTTTCTCCCAATTACTGTGATGTATGATCCTTGATGTTAGCATTGGCATGATATGCCAATGCTAACTCTGAGATATTGCTGTTTGTAGTGTCACATCTTGGTTCAGTTAATACGTCAGATTATGTTTTTGGGGGGATTTTCTGATTATGCTTAGCTGTGACTGTTCCAGAATCAGTTCATGCTCTTTTTATTGTCTTAATCTTCTCTCATCATTTGCTAGGTAGCAGATGCTCTAGCAACATTTATGGTCAGGCACAAATTCACTGAGTTTAAGGAAGGTTACCTGTGGTAAGTGAACTTCTAAGAATGTCAATGTTTAAGGAAATCCACATAGTATGTTTTTATGTAATAACTTTGTAATATTCTTTCAACAGCTAACTTCCAGTTTTCGTCTATATATAGCCAGCAGCCATAGAAGAAATGTTTCAAGATACATCGACATCCCCGTACAATTTAAGAGCAAATTAAGGAAAATATACAAGCATTATTATTATTATTATTATTATTGCTTTTTGTCATGTAGATACTTTGCCTTCAGCTTCGCCTTATTTTTTATTTTAAAACACTGGGATTTGATTGTACCACTCCTTTACAATTTATTTTTTTAAGTAATGCTCTCCTTGTTAAATAATGACATTTTGAGTGCTTGCATCATTCTGACATGTTTTCCAAAAGTGTGTGTAATGTTTGAAATAAAACGATGATTAAAGATGGATGCAGCACATATGTCACCCATGCTTGTATATTCTGTGTGTGAATTAAAAGAACATCATGATCATTTTAAATGCTGTAGTTTATTTTACATGACGTGTAACAAGATAAATGTGATTGGTGTTTAGAATAAGTGACACATGCATGGAGTATTTATTATAGTTTTCTATCATCTCATTTCACTCATTTGTTCTGAAATTCACATTTGCAAGACTTACAAATTATATCAGGCATTGTAACTCCTACTCACACTGAACATTTAATGTGTTGGGATAGCTTTTGTTCCCACGGTTAAAGCCCACTTTACAGTGAGTGCTGTTAAGAATCAGCATGTGTTTACTGAAGTTGAACCCATTAGAAAAATTGCCTGACAGATACTAGATTTCTTTATGCAAAGATTTACTGGGCCTCAGGTATTTTTCACAACCGCACTTTTTAGTGTAGCTGTTTGTTTTATATAAAATATATTCAGAAATGTTGATGTCCGTCCCACATTTGAATTCCTGTTCATTGAACAGTTTACACATGACTAGACGGGAACATCAATCCTATTCGGCTTCAGTGACTCAGGCCTGGAGGTTGAACAATTTGCCAGATCGACAAAAAGCTCTCATGCCACAAGATCACTGACGTTATGAATGAAAACTTTTCCTGATCTGAAACAAAATATTTGTATAGATGATGATTGAAAATGTATTGGTAATTTTGCCTTTTTAAATAAAATACAATTGTGCAGAAAACTCAGATGTTGGTCAACTGGTTGAGAACATTTCCTTTATGTTAATTCCTCATTCAAAAACAATGCTGAAAGGATATTTAAAGGTCCCATGACATGCTTTTCTGGTTATTACCTGTCCCCTTGTGTGTTATGTAGCTTTGTATGCATGTTAATCATTCAAAACCCCTCAAAGTACACCCTGTAGCGAGTAAAACTCTAACACAGGAAATACCTGTCTATGCTGCCCCAAACGCCTCGTTGGAGATTTTTCTTTTTCCATTTGTTTCTTCCGGGAACCAAGTGACGTAACGACGACCCCATGGACCAATCCGCGGACTTCCTCACACACACACACACACTCAATCTTTTCTCAGCTGCAGCTCCGCGGATTTCTCAGCCTGAGAGACGGCGGGACGCGGCGAGGCTGTGTGTAACAGCCGTGTGGACGCTGCATGCGTTAGCACACACACAGACTCACAGCCAGGCTGCGGGTGTGCTCGGGCTGGTTTCGGGCTTGGTTTTGCTGTGTCTCGCTGTCTCGCCGACCCGGAAACCACACCAGTAAGCCAGCTCACACTGTCCGCTCCTCACAGCAGCGAGCCTCGCAACCTCCCGCCAACACGGCACCCAGACCCCACGCAGCATTCTCATCTGTTTGTCATTACTGGTGTCATTTTCTGGTTGTTAACGCCATAGTGGGGCGAAGTCCCTCCCCTTCCGGTGGGACTCATGGGACCTTATTTCGGAAAAAGTTTGCATTGAAGTCAATGGAGAGAGAAAGATTATCTTTCGATCCCGTTTGAATTGTGCCAAGAATTACACATATGATGTTTGTCAATCTTAAATAATAATTTCCATGTCAAAAAAGTCACAGTTTGTCGTAAAACTCGATAATAAGACTATGAAAAATAGGCAACTAGAAAGACTAAAAATCCCAGAATCCCGGTCCCGCATGCTGGCTCTTACGGAACCGACTAACTCCCCTTGTGTGTATGTACAGCTCTCAACATGCCCAGACTTGTAGTGATTTTCACCTCTTTTAATACTTTTCGCCTCATTCTGAAAGAAAGAAGTGAAATGTGCCAACGTGACGGCCGTCTTGGTGTGTGGTGCGAGACGGGAGATGTAGTTCATTGAGCGGTTTCACACAAAAAAAGTGTTACTTCACAGTTTTACGACACATTTTTATTTTTTTTTACTTTAAAATTATCTTTTAAATTGACAAACATCATATGTGTAATTCATGGCACAATGCAAACGGGATCGAAAGATAATCTTTCTCTCTCCATTGACTTCAATGCATAACTTTTCCGAAATAAGGTCCCATGAAGCTCAACCGGAAGAGGAGGGACTTCGCCTCTCGTCCCTCCCCTTCCGGTTGAGCTCCATGGGACCTTGGCTGCGTCTCAGGTCGACTATTTTCATTTCCTCGGTCCTCGGTATCACCGGAAGTTGATTTGTCTGCTCCATCTTGAGTAGCGTCCCATGGCTCTTATTTCTGCCGGAGGAGCGAGGAGCGAGGAGCGATAATGGAGGAGCGATAACCGAGGAACCACCAGACCATCCTCCGATGAAATCCTCAGATACTCGCTCCGCCCCCTTACTGTGTATCGCTCACTGATTGGACGATGCAGCGCATACACTGATCTGATGCTTCTTGACATGAGAGCAGTTTCCCAGCGGAGTGAAGAAAATACATGAAACTCACGAGAGTCACTCCTCAGTCTATACTGTGTTTTGTTTAAAGGGCCCATGTCATGGCCATTTCCACTGATCATAATTCCATTGTTGAGGTCTACTAGAATAGATTTATATTGTGCAATTTTCCAAACTCACATTGGTTTCTCATACAGCATCTCTGTAAACTACGTGTATTCACTGAATTTCACTCTCTGCCTTTAACGGCTCGTTGTAGCTCCAATAGCTCCAGCCCCCCACCCTCCCTGTGAGCACAGTGTGCTCTGATTGGTCGGGACGTTGTGAATCGCGCTGAGCTCCGTGGAGGTGTTGTTTCCTTGTTAGCGATACACAGCCAAACACAGCCAAACTCATCCTGAGCACACACAAAGTCACAGCCGAAGTAAAAACAATAAGTGTGGCTTGATATTGAGTAAGAAAAAGGTTGATAAACGCTGTGAGAATGGGTCTGCAGAGAGAATTTCGCCGCGATCCCAACTGTCTGTTATCAGCCTGCAGCCAGGGAGGAGAAATCAGCAGCGCTCCCTGCTCCCTGCACACAGATGTGTGTGTGAGGAAGTCCGTGGATTGGTCAATTTGGACCAATCAGCGGGGGCTTAACGTAACGGCTCCGCGGATTGGTCCATTTCGTTCCGGGTACGGCTTGACATCATGCCGTACCCGGAACGAAATGGAAGAATCAAATGGACAATGACGTATCTCCAACGAGGCGTTTTGGGGAAGTATTGCACACCGTTTACATGCATAAAAACCTTCATAACACACAAGGGGACGGGTAATAACCGGAAAAGCATGACATGGGCCCTTTAAATTAATGTATAATTTAGTTACAAATATGTGATATATCTGAACAACAAAGTGGTCAGAAATCATTTTATTCATTTATTGGAAACATTTTCATGATCACTTTTTTTGTTTATACATTTTAAGAATGGCGTTTATCTTTTTTGAGAATGAGTTCTTATTTTATTTTATTTATTTGGGTCGACAACAGATGATACAAATGTATATGTCAGTAAATGTGTACTAACAGAGGCGGGGGTGTGTGTGAAAACAACGGGGACAGAGCTGCTGTCAGACGAACAGCTGTGCGGAGTCATCCCAAACGGACGTCGCTTCACGTGACGCTCCGGAGGAAAGGACGTCCCATTGTTCTTTAAACTCATTTCCCTGCTTCTCGTGGTTTCCTTGCGTCTCTCCATGCTTCCCTGGTGGGAGGGACTAAACGCAGGGAAACGACGCAACTTTCTCCGACCTGAGATGCAGCCCTTATTTCGGAAAAGTTATGCATTGAAGTCAATGGAGAGAGAAAGATTATCTTTCGATCCCGTTTGAATTGTGCCACGAATTACACATGATGTTTGTCAATTTAAAAGATAATTTTACAAGTAAAAAAAATAAAAATATGTCGTAAAACTGTGAAGTAACACTTTTTTTGTGTGAAACCGCTCAATGAACTACATCTCCCGTCTCGCACCACACACCAAGACGGCCGTCACGTTGGCACATTTCACTTCTTTCTTTCAGAATGAGGCGAAAAGTATTAAAAGAGGTGAAAATCACTACAAGTCTGGGCATGTTGAGAGCTGTACATACACACAAGTGGAGTTAGTCGGTTCCGTAAGAGCCAGCATGCGGGACCGGGATTCTGGGATTTGTAGTCTTTCCAGTTGCGTATTTTTCATAGTCTTATATTTCAACAGTTTTACGACAAACTGTGACTTTTTTGACATGGAAATTATTATTTAAGATTGACAAACATCATATGTGTAATTCGTGGCACAATTCAAACGGGATCGAAAGATAATCTTTCTCTCTCCATTGACTTCAATACAAACTTTTTCCGAAATAAGGTCCCATGAGTCCCACCGGAAGGGGAGGGACTTCGCCTCTCTATTGTAACACATAATCACTGATGTTCCGCTGTAACGGTGGTGGACTCATCAGAACAGAGTGGGCGAGCTGACCAATCAGAGCACAGTGGGCTCATAGGGAGGGGGGGGGCAGGAGCTCCAACAAGCCGTTTAGGACAGAGCGTGAATACACATACTATACAGAGATGCTGTATGAGAAACCAATGTGAGTTTGGAAAATTGCACAATATAAATCTATTCTAGTAGACCTCAACAATGGAATTATGATCAGTAGAAATGGCCATGAAATGGGACCTTTAAAAAACCACGTGTCCTCTTTTAAAAAAGTGGAAAAAATATGACTAGTTATTTTACGAGTTTGTTAACTATAACTCAGAATGCAGCAGAAATGGAAATGGAAAACAAGTTTCTTGTTTTTAAACTTGATGATGAAGTGACATGTTTTTCTTCGTACTGTATGCCTGATTCACTCCAGGGAAAGATATGCATTTTTAATTGACCCTCCACGGACCAACACAATGGAAAATATTGCATGTGTATTTATGTGCAATGTTAATATTTGAATTATTAATGTGCCATTAATGATGGTCCTCCAAAGAGTTAGTCACAGAGCTCATTATAAGAATGTAAACAAAGCTGATTGACAGATTTTATTTGGCCGCATCATCCTATATTCAATAAACATTTACCACCAGAGTTAAAATAATGTCAAAGATAAAGCTACATCAGAAAAGTGTACAATTTTCTTACATTGATTATTGTGTGTAAATTAGGCCAAATCTAC